CTTTCATCCGTTTCTTGCCCTGACACTGGTGTGTCCACTATGGGCTATATCTCCTGGTTCTTCCTTGTTCTGTTTTCCCCTCTGCACATCCAGTAGATTCTTCCAGAAACCGATGTCCACACTGTATAATGATCATCAGCGGCTCATATTCTAACTGTACGTGACTAAAATGAAGTACTGGGTTTGCCTCATTAACTCACCTGTGCTATTTGTAGATACCTCAGTCACAACCACATTACAACTCTCACACCTGGAGTATTCAAAGATTTACATCATCTAACATGGTTGTAAGAATTCTCACTTTTTTATCCCCTAGTCTTAAGGATGCACAGCAATCCTACTTTTCTATTTGTCACATAATCAGAAGTGCTTTCCAAAAGCAATTCAGACAATGGCAAGCTTTTCCAAGTAGCCTTCTGGGACAGACAGCAGGCATGCTAAATCATCCATCCATCCATCCATTCACCATTCCATCCATTCATCAACCTCACCACATATCCATCCATCCATCCATCCATCCATCTATCCATCCATCCATCCATCCATCCATCCATCCATCCATCCATCCATCCATTCATCAGCTTATTAACACATCTCTCCATCCATCTCTCCATCCATCCATCCATCCATCCATCCATCCATCCATCCATCCATTCATCAACCTAACCACACATCCATCCATTCATCCATCTACCCATCTGTGTCCACCTAGAAGTACTTCTCCAAACTCAGCACCATTGACATTTTAGGCTGAATAATTCAGTTGTGGGGACTGTCTTTTGCATTGTAGGATGTTCTGCAATATCTTTGACCTCCACCCACTGAAGGCCAATAACATCTTTTTCCGCCTATAACTATCGAATTACCCCAGACATTGCTAAATAATTCTTGAAGCCAGAATAACCTTCTGTTAACAAATACTACCAGGGACAATGAGCAGGTTAAGGGACCTTATCTGATTCCCAAAATAGCTGTACAAGAGTCTGGAGATAAGATAGCTCATGGTGTGCCCCGGTCTTCACTGAGACACCACCTCCATCCCAAAATCTCCCATCAGAGAAATGGACAAAGGGCAGCTTCCATGTTCCATGGCAGTCTGCCTGTCTTCTGGACGTCCGCTAGATTGACTTTACATACCAAGGGTTTTGGCTTCTGTATTCCCTAATCGTGCTGTGGCACTGTAGGGTAAGCATTGGACTGCTCACTGCTAGATCTGCAGTCAAACCTACCAGTCACTCCTTGGAAACCCTATCCAGGGTTGCTATGGGTTGAAACCAACTCAATGACACTTAACAACAACAATTCCCTAACCTGCAACTTCATCTTAGGCACCTTTCTTAATCTTCTTACACCTGTTTCCTTATCTGCAAACTACATGGAACCCTGGTGGTACAGTAGGATAAGTGTTGGGCTGCTGACCTCAAGGTCAATGGTTCATACCCACCAGTCACCCCAAGGAGAGCAAAACTGAAGCTGTTTGCTCCTGTGAAGATTTGCAGTCTCTGTGGAACAACAAGGAGGAGTTCTACACTATCCTATAGGGCCACTATGAGTCACAATCGACTCAGCGGGGTGGGGTGGAGTGGGTTTGTTTTGTAAACGATAGCCATCATTCCCACCACTTGTCTGTCCGTTTGCTGTACTGTGGTGGTTTCCATGTTGCTGTGATTCTGGAAGCTATGCCACGGGCATTTTAAATACTAGCAGAATCACCCATGGTGGACAGATTTCAGCTGAGTTTCCAGATGAAGACAGACTAGGAAGAAGAGATGGACTACTTCCAAGTATTTAGTTATTGAAAACATTATGAGCAGCAGTGGAACACT